TTAACTTCCACACACTTATGTGAAGAGTAAAGAAATAGGACTAAGTGCTCGACATAAAAATTACTCTATAACATTAAGGCTTTGTTTAGGATGGTTTTCTTACAGCTTTATAAAGCCGCTTTTAGTTAAAAAATATCTTAAAAGAAGAAAAAAATAGTGTTCTGAAGCTGTCCCAAACAAAGCCTAACTTTCATATTTGCATCAAATAAATAAAACTTAAATAATTTTAACATTTACCGTCTTCCGATTGAACATTTGAACCTTAAATCTTTCGTTATTCTAATTCAATATCTTATTCGAATTTTCAAAATATTGGGTGCAACTAAATTTTTAAAAAAGATTCTATATGTCATTCGCTCATCCTTATATTTTTCGCATGTTTCATGAATGATTCAAATTGTCACAAAAATCAATGAAATTATTGCACATGTAATTTGTATATGTAGATCACAATATTCACATATATAAAGTTGCTGCAATATTGGGTGCAACTAAATTTTTAAAAAAGATTCTATATGTCATTCGCTCATCCTTATATTTTTCGCATGTTTCATGAATGATTCAAATTGTCACAAAAATCAATGAAATTATTTCACATGTAATTTGTATATGTAGATCACAATATTCACATATATAAAGTTGCTGCAATATTCCCTAGACTGCTTTGAATCCTCTTTTCAAGAATTCTAACCAGAATATGTTATATGACATGGTTCAGAATCTTGAATTCACATATTCAAGAAAACAAAAAATATCACAAGGTTAGAATCGTAGTTAACAAATACTTATGTGCAGGATAGAATAATGAAACATCATTGTATTTGACACAAATCAATAGGAGTTGAGATTTACAGACATTATAGCGATTATGTTCTATGAGCTGAAGGCACAATTGCTACAGAACATGCAAGAGAAAAAAAAATTTGTTTGGCCCCTCTTTCCAGAGAGAAAAGAAACTAAAGGATCATTTAGTTGATTGCAGATAAAAGATAAGTTGTGAACGCAGTTTTTCAGAGATTTTATACGTATTTGCCGAGTTAATGTTTGTATTGACAAAAGATGAGCAACAAACACAATCAAGAGAGAAAAAACTGGGAAGAAGTTTTAATGTTCAAATTCAGTAAACTGGAACTCATCACTCAAAAATACAAAGGCTGTTACAAGTGACAAGTCATATCTCATATACAATAGAATATTTACCTGGGAATTTTCCAGATGGAGAAACTAACCTGATATACAAATGACAATACTCTTCCTGTATGACGAGTACTTGGTCAGCATCATTTATGCTCTGTTAACACGGATCTGTTGCCCTTCAAACAGCTGAAAGAAGCAATTAAAAAACAAAAAATGACTAGTGTTACACATGATAATGCTTGTGTATTAAATATGGCATACTATAATTTTTCAAAAGTATGGAATAAAAGGTAAAAGTAAATCAAATGTAGTGTGCAAATTACAAGTAAAAGCAAAATAGTTTCAAGAGATTCTAAGTCTATTGGGACAGTTTTCTCTTTGTTTTGCATTTCAAAATGTTGTCACACATTCATTTAGCTATTACTTTGAATCTATTTTTTAGAAATTTTTATGATGGGAAGCTGATTTAAGAAATGAATATGCTGTAGGCTATAACAAAATTTAATGTTTGAGTTATTAAAAAATATATATTTATAATATTCACAACAACTTCAAAAAATAATTTTCTCATAAAAAGCTTAACAACTAGTTATATTTATAAAAAGCTGCAACTGCCCCTAACGGACCCAAAATCACCTGAAAAGAAGAACAAGGCAAGAAAAAACATGTATGGATGGCTTCTCCTTGGAAATCGTAATGGTTCCTCAGCATAAAAACTAGACGAAATGGAAACTCCAACAAAGTAAATGTTCTTACAGCGTTGTTATATGAGGAAATGGCAGCGTCCACATCTTCTTCTGAAGAGAATGAAACAAATCCGAAGCCGCTTGATTTTGAAGTTCCTGGCACCCGGGAAACTTTTGCACTAAGAACCTTTCCTTTCTCTGAGAAGAACTTTGCAAGCAACTCAGTTGTCACTGTCTTAGCAAGGTTGCCTACATAAACTTTATAGGGGCTATCAATGAACTTAGATTCATCAGTTTGGAGTTGAGAGCGATCAATGGAGTTCAAAGGTTTTTCTGTAACATTAACTTTGATCTTCCGACCTCCAATTTCCTACAAAAACTCAGCAAGCATAATTTCATTGTGAAACAAGGATAGAACCTGAATAAATATTTGAAGAGAAGTTAAGAAAAAGAAATGCAAGTTACTTTTTCATTTAGCTTCTCAATAGCAGCATTAGCATCATCAATTGAAGTCATGGTGACAAATGCAAAGCGTCGGCTCCTTCCAGAGTATTTATCATACATAACCTACAATGGATGTGAAGAGAGATTACAATACACTATTACTGATAATAATATGACTTTAACTCAAATGCAGACTCCTCTGCGCAAACATCTCCACCACACAATGAAAATAGTCCAGCAAATTGCAGCCCCTGATGCAAAACAAACTCTGCCAAATACAAATGATCAGGACAGAATTGACATTAGTTAGCTGTAACCAAGATGTAGACAGCTTAAGGTTTTCGTGTACATACTTGCTCTACAGTAGTTGCTGTTAAAAATGAACAATACAACGAAGTAATATGAGTTCGGATTGTGATCAATGTTCACCTTCTTCTTTATGTTTCTAGTTACCAGCTTATCTGCTTCCTAAATATTTCAACATGGTATCAGAGCTTTTGCTCAATATCAACATCTTCACAGTATTGTTTTCATTCGCTATACTCACTTGTCAAAGTTCATCAATGTTTGTTTGATCAAATCCATTCTTCTTGTTGCAGGGTTGACCTCTGCTCCTCTTGATGGCGACACTGCTATTTTTTTATGGACAACTCTCCTACTTAGTCTATGAATTCCTAGTCTTGAAGACACCACTATTCTCAAAATGTGCAAGATATCTATACCCCCACCCCATCCCACATCACCCTACCCTCCAACTCAATGTCTAACATCAAAAATATTGTTCATACCCAGATTCTCACCAAAAAATTATCCTACATGTTTCTCTCAAATTCCAAAGCTCTAAGGCAAATAATTTTGATGGCTATACGATGGCTCTACTCCTTGCACAACCAAACAAATTTCTTCTCCTGATGGACAAGTTTCTCAAAATTATAATTACAACAACTGGATAATGGCTGATCAAAATCTAACTACATCCTTGTTCTCCACCATTACATTTTCTATTCTTCCTTATGTCTTGACGCTCAACTTATGTGTTGAGATTTGCTCTACTGCCAAGAAACGCCTGTAATCTACTACTAAATCCCCGTTTATCCAACTAAAAAATGAACTCCATAGTATTTCTACGAAGAATCAAGTATTGACTCAAAAGATATTTGTATTAAAGACTTTGTTGTTGTTGGAAGCTCAGTTGATATAAAAGACATTATATTATATTTACAACATGATCTACCATTAAATTACCAAGTATTCAAAACTGTCATTCGCATCAAACTCACACCTATCAACCTCAATTATCTTTCATCTCTACTGTACAGTAAATAAATCAATCTTGCTAATGATACAGGACGTAAGCACAATCTCTCTAATGCCACTCAACCTAATGGGTCTAGTATTATTCTGGATGTCACTCATGATAGAGGAAAACATTGCTTCAACACTTTTTGTGGTCGAGGTTGCAACCAACATGCCTCATTCACTTGAGGCGCTCATTCTACTTATTTTTCCATGGAGGAGATTCTCATACTGCTTAAATCAAATGCCAAATATGTGGCAAAGGCAGACATTCTGTTGTTCAATTATAGCATAAAGCTAATCTTAATTTCACACATACTACCTCCTCTCCATAACCTTTTCTTCCTGCATCCCAACCTTTTAATACCAATTGGTAATTCAACTCCGAAGCCAATACCTATATCACATCTGATTCAACTTAGCTTTTATAGTTTACGCCATATATGCAACCTGAATGAGTGCTCATTGAAAATGGCTAGGCCCTGTTGGTTTTAAATGCAACGCCAGGCATTCTTTCCACTCCCATATATAAGTTATTTCTTTCTAAACTTTCCATGCTCCTACTCTCTATCACAATCTTCTTTTGTTCATAAGTTAACTACTGACAACAGTTGCTCCATCTCCTTTGATGCCTTTGACTATCATATGAAGGACCTGAAGATCAATCACACCCTTCTCCAAGGACCATATTGTAAAGGCCTATGCCTGATTTCATATCACCAATCCAACTAATCACCATTGCAATCACTTGCTCTGCTCACTGAATACTCTTCGTGTATGGTGTGGCATCATCATCTTGGTCATCCAAACAAATTCAAACTTTCTTTGCTAGCAAAACAATGACCATTTTATGTATTCCCTATATTTTGATTATTCTCCAAGTCATGCAGCCGAGCAAAAAGTCATAGACTTCCCTTCTGTAAGTTCACTACTGCTAGTTACAAATCTCTTAAAGTTTTGCATTCTGATACATGGAGACTTTCTCCAATTATTTCTTATCAAGAATATGAATATTTTATTTCTTTTATTGATGATTTATCATTATGCTGTTGAGATTTTTCAATAAAGAACAAATCAGTGACTTCTTAAAAGTTTATTCCTCTCAAAAACATATTTGAAAAACAATTCCAAACATCAATCAAAATTTTGTGTTCTGAACTTCTGATGATGGAGGATAATATAAATATAACATATTCCAAAACCTCTTCTCACAATCAGTCAAACACAAACACCATTGAAATTGTCCACACTTTACTTCTTGAAACTAAGCTCTCTCGTCACCCTTGGCTTGTTACACTTCTTAGAGTTGTATACCTCATAAATTAATTATCCTCAAAGACAACCAATCTAACTTCGTCATAGCAGCTTTTCAACAATAAACAAAGACAATACTCTCATCTAAGAGTCGTTGCTTATAAGTGCTACCCTTGACACCAACCTCATTCCCCAGCAGGGGCGGAACCGGTCTTAATTTTCAGGGGGGCAACCTTAAGTAAAAGTGTAGATATATTTTTTTCATATATATATATATATATCATTTTAGCGACTAATAATTATTTGTACTTGAATAAATAATACATTTTAAAAATATTATCAACATCTTATATAATAATAATTATTTTTAAACAAAAATTATGTAATACCTCTACACAATGTGTCAGGGGTCCAAGGGGGCAGAGCCTCATGACGGGGTTCGACCTGCACGGTCAAGTAGCGGGGTTGCCCTTGTGGGGGTTTCTGGGGGCAGCACCCCCGGAACAAATTTTAGTTTTAAGGATATTTTTGAATTTCCTTTACTATTTCATCAGGTACGCCTTTCCTTATAAAGGTTAAAAATGTCATAACCCCATGTCTGACAAAGTTATCATATCCAGATATATTCAATTCAATGAATCCAACTCTTCTCATTATTGTCCTCAATATCCAACTATTTCTCTCCCTCTTCATAATTATCTTCGTCTCTTACCATTTACCAATGTTCTAGTTTCGTGTCGACCTTCATATCAATCCCACAATCGATCTAAATGAATACAACAAAAACGGCGAAATACAAGCATGACGTCGCACAATATTAAATCATAATACTTATACCGCAAGCAAGATCATCTAACCATCACCCGTTTTACAAAACGAACTGCACTAACACATTCGAGCGTCGAAAATACCAAAAAAGGACAAATAAAATACCCATTTTTTCTCCATTGTGTCATGTTAAGAGTCAAATTCTCATTTAAATCTAATAAAGAAAGATCATTTCTAATATTTCACGCATGCGAGTCAGCATCAAAAAATCAACTCTACCGAGTGATGAGGATTTGCAGGAAAGAGTCGATACCCACATTATCTTTTAAATAAAATAATTTTTTTGTCAAAATTATGCAAATCTCACATTGTAACCTAAAAACCTAGGAATCCCGTACTCATGCCTTTCCCTATCATTACAAGAAGTCATGTCATGTTTGGCACCTCTAAAAAAAAAAGAGATAATACCACATGCGGCTCCCTCTCTCATCCCATGCATCTCCCTCTCATCCTCTTCCACTCTACACCTACCCGAAATTTTAAATGACAGAAAAGTGAGGATATTGCATGAGCACGCTAGAGAAGGCATCAATTAGCACAACAACATGGGGAGGAAGCAAGGAAACCATGACTTGAACTTACTAGTGAATGCATTGATAGGACTAGCTATAGCAGCTCAAATCCTTGACTATCGAGTTATTGTTTTCTTTGGCCTAATGGTCTCATGATTTTATCATGTTGGTGCAACTTCTTAGAAGCTCATTCATCCCAAGATTATTCCCACATTAGCATGCTTAACTTTAGAGTTTCTTAATGAAATTCTTATTATTACACCAAAAGGCATCTCGATGTTTAAGAGTTAAACTTCTTTTTACTTAAGGGGATTCACAATCTCTTCCACTTAAGCAATTAACGCCCTCGTCAATATCCTTATCACAAAATCATCCACCAAGAAGACAAGATTTGGACGAATGAAGCACAAGTTATAGTGAGAAGCAACATGTGAGAAAAAAAACTAAAATGAGGCAGTTGTATCCTGGCCTATTTGAGTGTGTACTGACTTATATGTAGATGTCGAGGGCAACAATTCTGTAATGCGAGGAGAATGTGATACTCGTCGTTCTAGGATCCAATTAATCTAAGTAATTTGGTGTGAATCTCCACCTATCCTAATTTAATTATTGATGTTAAGTTGTAGTACATTTAATTGATCTTAAACAAGTGTAAGAAGTGAAATGGGGAAAGAGAGAACTATATGGGCAAAAATATCTGACACCGCGGTATTGTCCTATCTATTTGTGAGAAGAAATTTGGAGAGCACCATGATGTTGGGTGGTGCCGTCTCAGCGCTTAGCTCTCGGGTTTGAAGAATCTTAGAGCATCTGGAATATTCTATGAGAGCATTGCGATGCCAAGAAAGTGGGCATCGTGATACTAGATCCAAAATGATGTTTTTATATATATAATATCCTAATCCATTTATCCCTTATTTTCCCTAAGCTGCCGGAGAAGAGAGAAAACCTAAAGAAGAGAAGAGAGAAAGACATGAGAGGGATTCAAGGGCCATAGCTCGAGTTTCATCCGTCGGACCAGTTAAGGAAATCGTTGAACATGATATAGATTTATAAACACCTGTTTTTGATTTCACTTCCAATGATTGTATGATAAAATATAAAAAAAAAATGCATTTTCTTGGGTTATACAATCTTTTCATTACATAACTTTTGTGTACTGTACTCAACTTTAATTCAAAATTTTTTTACTATAAAAAGTTAAAATTTTACTTTTTAGTTTTCTCTATGATGATTTTTTTGTATGTTGAATAAATGAGGTGTTTTTATGAGTAATGGTCATTCTCTGAAAGTCTTAGGGACTATTTGGTAGCACCCGGACTTGATTTAAGTAGGCTTTCGTAAATCCTCTAAATCCTGATTTCAGAAATCCTAAGGGGCTTAAATGAGTTAAATCCTGAAAATTGTTTGGTAACATTCATGATAAATCATCTTAAATCTCATGTGACTGTTTGGCTATAGAGCGGGATTTACCGAGCGGACTCTTACTCTAGCGCCATGGATTTCGTAAATCCGACAAAATATAGGATTTCAAAAATCAGGGATTTCGAGCGAATCGGCAGAATTTTCTATTTGCAGTCGATTTCGTTTGCCGTGACATTTGGTTTTGCATTTTAGGTCATTTGGCTGGATTTCGCTCAAATCCGGCCTAAATCCTGTTGCCAAACAGCCCCTTAAAATGTCGCTCTGGCTATTTTTTTTTTAATTATAATTTAAAAAGAAAATGTCAAGTATGGAAGGTTCTAAATATGCAATATTATCCTACTTTAATAATTCTAGTAGCTTATACATCATCATGCTCATGTTTAAAGTTATAATTATTTGTTTTTACATTCAAATTACATAATTTATGGCATGACATTGGAGAAGTTTTGAACTCTAAAATATTACAAGTGCACTCTCTAAAATAATATAAGGATCTTATATGTTATATTTGGCCAAATCTTCCTTGTGTGGTTGTGGGAAGGATTTTGGCCCCATTTACTAAATGCAGGTGTGGGAAGTTGTTATGTTATGAATATCATTAAACTTTCACCCCAGTTGCAAAGTTTCCTAACATTAGCTTATTTATAATGGTGGTTATTTGATTCAATTGGAAAGTTTGTAATTAGATATTTAATGGAAAAATTGGTGAAATTGTATATGCAACTCAACTTCAAGGATTCAAAGATCGGTAATATCCTAAGCATGTTTGTCTATTAAAGAAAGCTACGTATTGTCTCAAATAAACTCCAAGGCAATAGTATGCCACTCTTCTCAGCATCATCAAGGATTCAGTAATAGTTCTATCAATTCCCCTTTTCTACTATATGACCCTAAAAAAGTTTTGACTTTATTTGTTTATTTATTTTGACAACATTCATCTAACCGGGAATGAACAAGATAAAATTTTAACCCTACTTCGTAAAATTCATCATCACTTTAATATGAAAAACATGGGGTCTATTTCCCATTTTCTTGAAATTCAAGTTGTCGCAATGGCTTCAAGAATTATCTTTAATCAATTCAAATACATAAGGGAAATTCTCAAAATAAATTGGTCTGAGTGATTGTACTCCTGTTTCAAATCCTTTACCTTTAAAATTTCAGTCAAATGCAACTTCCAATGAATCATTTTTGGGTCTTGCTCTATATCAAAATCTTGCTGAATTGCTTCAATATCTCACCAAAACAAGACTTAATATATCTTTTGCTACTAACAAGGTCTTCCGCTCAAATGTCATTTCCAATATATCAAATGCATTCTATGATATATAAAGGGTAATTTTCATTACGGACTCTCCCATAAAAAAGCTGATCTACATCTTCATGCATACTCAGACTCTAATTGGGATGCTGAAACAAAAGATAAAATTCTACCACAGGCCATTGTACTTATCTGGGTTGTAGTTTCATTACCTGATGTGTTAAAAGCAATCAACTATTGCTCAATCCTCTATGAAAGTTGAATACCATGCCCTTGCTACTATTGCCACCAATTTGATATGGCTTCATTGTCTTCTTCAAGAATTTTAATTCCCCACCAACACTCTAATACCACTATATTCTGATAATATTTCAACTATGGCCATAACCAACAACCTTTTTTTTGCTAGATCATCATTTCATCTACTAATGCATCCTTTCAAAAATGATCATAGTTCATCACACCTTTTCTCGTGATCTATGATTCACAAACACGGACACGGCGAAACAGACATGACACGACACGGACACGAGACACATCATTTATTGAAAATATAGGACACGGACACGGGTTGGACATGACATTATAGTTTTATATTTTTAAAATAGTGTATAAAAATTAAATAAGTGTAATTTTAGAAATAATTTAAAAATAATAAGTCATTTAACTATAATTTGAGCTTAAAATGATTAATATTAGGATGTCGAGAGTCGGGCGATAATGTCGTTTATCAGTCATCAGAGAGGTGATGATAATGTTATCGAGAGTTAGGCATTGATGTTATGCAATAAATATTGGGCGTCAATGTTAAGAGGGCATTTATCGTCGATGTTGAGAGGGCGTTGGTCGTCGATGTTGAGAAGTCCTTGGACAAAGATGAGATGCCAAATTGTGGGTGTAGAAATTGCTAGCATCGAGCATCAAATTTGTATTTAAGATACGCGTTTAAAAAAATCATAAAATATTTAAGATACGTGTGTCGGACACTCGTGTCCGATTTGTATTTAATATTTTTTAAAATCGGACATATTTTCGGCGCATCCAACACGTGTCGGGCGCGTGTCATGTCGGATATGTGTCGGACACTGCACACCTATTTGAGGAAAAGTGTCAGTGCATTGTAGCTCGTGATGAGGTTATCGACACCTTCACTAAAGCTCTACCCAAGTAGATCTGTGTTTCTTTGTGAAAAATTGATCACTTATTCGGCCAACAACTTGAGGGAAAGGGACACTAATATGACTTTAGCTCAAATGCAACCACTTCTACTGCACAAGCAACCCCACTAGTCCGCCACATAATGAAAATAATCCAGCAAATCACATCCCTCAATGCAAAACAAAGTCTATCACATACAACTAATTCAAGATATAATTGTAATACTTAATTGTAGCCAAGATGAAGACAACTTAAGGTTTTCATTTATGTACTTGCTCTACTATAGTTGCCGTTAAAAAATGAACCTTGCAATGAGGGAATAAAAGTTATGATTGAAAACAATATTATCCTTTTTCTTTCTATTTCTTGTTACCAGGGTCTCTGTTTGCATTTCAACAATTTTGACTCAAATGATACTGCCCGTAACTTTCATAATTATCTTCCTTTTATGCATGAAATCTTAGTGCTTCATACCAAGTTGTAATTTCTTACTATATTTGAACTATCACCTAGCCTACAACTTATACTAGGAATCTAATATAATGTTTTGTCATTAGAGGATGTTATTCTTTGCCTCTTCTTTTTTTTTTCTCTTCTGGAGTCTATTTATAAGAACATATATGGTTGTACTAGAATGAAAATTCAATGAAGATGTAATCATTTCCAGTTCTATCTCCCTTCCAACATGATATCAGAGAATTTTGATCCCTCTCTCACATCCCAGCTGTTTATGACATTTCCACCAATTCCCTTGAAAACTATGTCTCAAATAGCACTGACTGCTTCATTAGTCTCTTTCAAAGGCTCTCATTCTTCTATGGCATTCACTGTTTTCATCTTTTAGATCTGACAACTACTCACCTCTCACATTGCTAGAGGCAATCTAAAAAGGATCTCCTCCATTCTCCAACACCAATTGTGTCGGTGTCTTTTATCCTCACTACACCAACCTCTTCATCGACATTTTATTATTGTTCTTCAATGATACTCTCTGTTGATACCTTTGGCGATGCCCTAACACAAAATTTGTTGTCAACTATTTGCATCAAATTCAAACTACTTATTCTTTCCTGGAGCAATTGCATTCCTCTTGTAGCATTCAGTCTCCAAGAAACAAAATCATTGACTACTACATTTCTGGTCAATAATATTTTCAAATTCAAGTTTACATTTCTATGTCACCATGAGTTTAAAGGGAAGAAAATATAAATATTTTCAATCATAAGATTATCCACTATTTTTAGGAAAAAGGCCAAAATTCAAAACTGCTTTCAGGAATGCATTTGGTCTTAAATCGTTTTACTAACGGAACGACTTGCATTGAATGATTAATCATTTCCATCAATTTCCCTCCCCTCTTCCCCTTCTACAACCAAATCATTCATCACAATATTTCAAAATTTCACAAAAAAGTAAATAACGAGAACACATACCTCAGCCTTCTCAACCGAACCGTGCTCTCCAAAAATATTAGCCAGCTCCTCATTATTAACATTCCTAGGAATATTACCCACATAGAGTCTACGCTTCGCCGCTTGATCCCTTGAAGTGGCAGAGGGTGCTTCAGCTGTTACAGCAAATATCGCCGTAAATTTTCGTATACTTCTGTAGGAGAACATGGAGCGATAACTTTGAGCCAGAGAATATGGCGAAGAATCTTCTTTGGGGAGCAAAGAAGCGACTTTGGTGATTCTGATACTGTTGCTTGGGTGCTGGAAAAGAGCGGTGGATGAAAGAGTAGAGATTGCCGCCATTTGTATACGGTAAAGAGGTAATTAGGGTTTTCAAGATAGAGGAGCTGGTGCTTGAAGAAGACGAGAAAGAGAGTCGAAATGATGAGTGCCGGTGCATTATCCTTAAAACGGCAGGGAAGGAATTTTTATTGCGTCCTCCCACCTGATCTAGAGATATGTCCTCCCATCATTAAAAAATTGGGTTTTTGTTTGGTATTGCTAGCTATTATTTGGTATTAACGAATAATATCATCATGTGAAAACCAATACTGAGTTATACCGAGCTATACCGAGCAATATCGAGCTATACCGAGCAATACAAAAAAATACCTAGATTTTCCTAGAGAAAACTCGGCATTGCTCGGTATAGCTCGGTATAACTCGGTTTATGTCTTCACATGATGATATTATTCGTTAATATCAAATAATAGCTAGCAATACCGAGCAAAAACCCAATTTTTTAGCGGTGGGAGGACGTATCTCTACGTCAGGTGGGAGGACGCAATAAAAATTCGTAGGGAAGAGAAGTTTGGGTTCACCAGTTCGACTGTTCCGCAGGAGAAGCGTACAGGAGAGTCCAAAATACAATAAAATGGCTATACGGTGGATTTTTTTTTTTTCAACCTGGCTGACTTGCCCAAAGATTTTATATTGAAATTTAAAATTTAGGATTGGCGTTATTTTTTTAAATAAAATACCTGCCAAAGTTACATAATTTTTATTATTTTAGCTCCATAAATTTTTCATAAGAGAAAATATCGATGAAGGTGAATATTGATTTGGAGGAGGATGTTCATTCTTCAAGAAGATGATATGATCACAGGACACGGAGTCTGAAAGGCACTTTGTAAATGTCAAGGAAGGAGAAGAGTTGGAGTTGAAAGAACTATAGGCTGAATGAATGATAATTTTTTTCTGTGCACTTAGAAAATATGTCGAAGTTGAAATTGAAGTAAAGTTTTGTTTGTATTTTGTATATCATGCTTTATTTTTCTCTTTGTGTTTGATTTATTTTGATAATATAATACTCATTCTTAAATACGCAGTTGATGAAGATGAAGAATAATTAGTTTTTTTTTTCTTTTTCTGTGTGATTTATTTTGATAATATAATACCCATTCTTAAATAAAATCTATTGTATATCGTTGTGTACCGCTGTGTACTTGTTATATTGGTTGTGATATTAAAATTCTAGCTTGCATCACTGGACATTTTAATTAAACTGAGTGAAAGATGTTTTAATTAAACTTAGTTCCGCTGTTGTGTACCACTTTACAATTTGGAATAGTCATAAAAATATGATCAATTAACTCGACTTTTTTTAATGATAAAGAATAAAACATAAAAAAAAATTGAACAAATGAATTCATCATGAAACATAACATAATTTTGGACTTTGCATGTCTTTTTGTTCATGTCATTTGTGCTCATAATTTATTGTATACTACTTTATATTATAGTATTGTACTATGTACCACTGTCTACCACTACCGTGTACCACTACTATATACCACTTTTATACCGCTCCATGTCAATATGGTTGAGGCAATAGATACGCTATTGATCTTTTTTATAAGGAATGAATTTATTAAATAGCATAGAAAATTAAAGAACTTTAACGTGAGAAAAAAAAAAAACAAGGGGCTTGCTTTTTGCATTGTATGTTCAGCAATGCTTAAGAGTTAGGACTGTCGATAAAGCCTCCCATTCCCTGAATTCTTGAGACAGTAAAGTGCCGATGTTTAATAATTGTGATGATATTTAATCCATTTAAGAGTAATCAGAACCTAATAATCATTGAACAACTTCAAGGCAACTATTTTGAGAGTCGTCTATTTATGAAGCTTACTATTTGTTATACGTGAATTCACTTGGATTTGAAGTTTTTATTTGATTCATATAAACTTGAATGCACATCAATACTAGCAATACATAGTGTTACACAGTAGTACACAATAACAATACACAGCAGCACACAACAGTACAAATCACCAATACACAATAATACATAATTAAAGAATGCATTTCTCATATAGTTTCTGTAATACACATATGTGAAAAAGCCAAGAAAGCTTTAAAATGAATAAAAATATCATTGAAAATTTTACATAGTTGATTTAAAGAAGCATGTGTTCTCCTGTCATGGCATATAAACATTGCGCTTTTATTAAGATATTCAAAACACAAATGATCTGCAAATCATGGAGTATAAATGACTTATAAACTCTAAAAATAAGCAGGAATCAGCCCCTTGTGGGTGCTGCCCCCTCAGACCCCTGATGTATTTCCTAAGTGTACATAAAAAAACATGATTATGATTCATGCCCTTATAATGAATTGATAAAAAAGAACGAGAAATTAGAGGAAAAATAATTAAAAAAAATAATTATTGCATTCTGGAATATTCACGGTGGTAGAGAAATATGAAGTTTAGCGTCTTAGCATTGCACAAAGATCCAGTAGGCAATCAGATTAGAGAGAGCGTGTAGCGTTCATAACAGACATCAGAGTTTTTACGTTGAAACACCTCAAAAGGGAGAAAACCATGGAGCTTGGCCTAGTTTGAATGAATCCACTAGTATTTGCAATCGATTATAAATGAGGCCCTTCCTTGGGAGAAGACATTGGCTTGATGCCACAAATGTGCGTCATATAGAGCGCATTACATGGTGGGAGTTACAATAATCAATAAGTGGTGGCTTGACAGAAGTCCGAGTCTCGGGTTGTGGTCCGGTAGAAGCCTGGGCCTCAAGTGGTTGTCCGGTAGAAGTTTGTATCTCAGGTGGTGGTCTGGCAGAATTCTAGGCGTCAGGTGGTGGTCCGATAAAAGTCCGGGTGTCAGGTGGTGGTCTGGTGGAGCATAGGGCTTCAAGTGATGGTCTGACAGAAGTCTGGGCATCAGGTGGTGGCCTGGTGGAGCTCAGGGCAACAGGTGGTGGTCCGATGAAGCTCAGGGCCTCAAGTAGTGGTCCGGCGGAGGTGAGGGCCTTAAATGGTGGTCCGACGATGGTCGGGGGGAGGAAGGAGGCAAGAGCGATCTCTGATCTCTCTCTTGAATCCTTTGGCTTCGGGGTCCCCTTTCAAGAGAGAAGGGTGCTCTATTTATAGATTTTTTGAGTGGCATGAGCCATAAATAGGTGAAAGATCAAGGGAAAATGAGGAGTGGTTGGATGGACGACAAATGTTGAATCCCTTGATCATGGACCGTTTGATGGACATTTGAATGTCTTAGTGATGTCGAAATTTGGTGATCTTGGGCTCGTTGGATTTGTCTAGTTGAGCAGCTCGATTTGATTATAAGCATGTTATGTTTGAAAATCATTCGAGAATCCAAATTGTGGTTCAAACCTTTAGAATGCGCTTTGAGTCTTCGATTTGGACTCATTTGGGCTTGAATTGAGTCGAATTTGGTGTCGTTGGGTTTGTATTTCCGAAGACGTTTAGTTCAACTATAAGTTTGCTGAAATTGGAGTTAAGATGGTCTCCAAATTAATTTTTTAAGTTTCCAACTTGATTTTGCCTTGAGATTCATGCCCGATCAAGATAATTTTTTTATGATATATTAATACTAAATATAAAAAATGAAATATGATCTTAAAATATTTTAACAATTTTGTACTTAAATTCTAAATGCTAGTTTATTCTAAGTTTATTTTTTATGAAGATTTTTTAAATGAGTTAGCTCGCTAGCTAAACAGTCGAGTAAGAATTAACTCAAAATTGATCAATTATCTCATCATGCACAACTCATGAGCCATTTATTATAAGTTTAACTCGAGCGGACTCACTTCCAGCTATAGGAACAACTAATTTGTTATTATATTTTGATAAATTAGTGTGTTGGATGAATTACTCAGCAATCATTTGTATAAAGCTCGTTTAAGCTAATTTATTTAAAAAAATTACTTTGAATAAAATTTAAAAAGCTCATAGTATAAATACACCTTTGAATACTAAGCATTTTGCTCCATATTTATTATTTAACAAGTAGCTTATTAAGAATTTGAAAAAAATATTTATCATATTAAAAATAATATATATTTGTTACAATGTTTATTAGTTCACATTTTTTAATGAAATAATTATAACTCTTATAACACTTAATAATAATATTGAAAAATAAAATAAAATTGTCGTACTATAATAGCAGAGGTAATTTGGAACACCGTGAATTGCAGTAGAAAAATCGTTCGTCAAAATTTTTTTATGCATCTCCAGCTCTACCGCAGAAATCTGAAACACTGTAAAATCCTAGGCCAAAACCCTAATCCAGATCCGATTTGTTGAACTTCACCGTATTTTAGGATCCTTAGGGTTCGCTGGAGTTGGCGCCTTAGGGTTTTCACATTCTCTGATCTACTTTCAGCTACCAGTATTGATCTACCTTGATCGAATTCTCATGGGTGACAATGGAGTTAGTGAGATCTTTCAGGAGCCAAAGAAGGGAAAGTTTAAGACTCCCAAGAAGGCAAAGGAGAGTGTTCTGAAGCAGAGTAAGTTAGCCAATTTCCTTTCAGTCTTTTTTACCGGGTACTCTCTACTTTTAGCTGATGTTTTGCGTACTGGACTTTTTTTTTTTGCAATGCTTTAGAATCCCCCGCGGAGTTCTTCGCCGAAAACAAGAACATCGCTGGTTTCGACAATGTTAGTATCCATTATGTCCCAGCTCCTTCGCGAGTCATGTAACAATTTTTACGATGTTCGATTTGTGGTAAGTAAGATTGTAAATGGAAGAATTCTTGGTTTTTTAAGCCTGGAAAATCGCTATACACAACAGTGCGCGAGCTTGTTGAGAATTCATTGGATTCAGCCGAGTCTATTAACGAGCTCCCATCCATTGAGATTACAGTGTAAGACCAGCGTATTCATCATATTTAGCTGGTTCTTACTGTGTTATCTTCAGATAGTGTGAGCCTGGCGTTTTGCTTGTCATGCAGAGAAGAGATCAATAAAATGGAGTTTAATACCATGATTGGTCTTGTTGATCGGGAGCGTGTCGATGAAGAGCTGTATGATGATTTCGAGTCTGCCAAAGTTCGTGAGGTGTGTCTCTATGACTGGATCCATGTGGGATTTATGGCACTCAAATGTAAATTATAATATACAATTAAGGGTGTTTGGTTCAGTGATATATATAATACCATGTCATCATATTTAAATATTTCAACCGTATTATTCCTTACATCTTCAAATAACATTTAAAAAATGGCATTCATTTCCTATTTAAATATTTCAATCTTTTTAAATGTTTCAATTGTTTGATTCATTAATGTCATTACATATGAATATTTATGTTGGAGTGTCTTAATATAGACATCTTAATGTAAAAACTAATCCAAATGCATAATATTTGAGAGATAACATTTGTCGTACAATAACATTGACATCTTAATAGTGTTGACATCTCAATAACATTGAATTGAACAACCCACACGTTTTTGTCATATTTGCTACTTTATATATTGGTTTAATGGTGATTCTGTGCTTTGATGATGCTGTCATTGGAGATTATAAAATAATCACTTAGTTTTCTTTGCTATTTGAAAACTTTCTGCTGGATAGAAACGTCTTGCCAAAGAAGCTCGACTTCAAGAAATTCAGGCAAAGAATGCTTCCCTTGGAAAGAAGGCGAAGGAGCCTTCAACTAACACCAAGGGACCTAAAGGTAGAGGTGAAACATCATTCTTCAAGGTTATCTGCAAGGTGTTGTATTCTATACTACCTAAATTCAAGGGCCCTCTAACACAACTATAGTTATTTTTATGTGTACTCATTTGTTTGTTCCTTCTGTTATACTGAATCAGCTATGTTGCTTGTTTGATCCAGGATAATGGACGAGGAATGCCACATGATGATATCCCAAATATGTTTGGCAGAGGTATGATGTTATTCCCATTGAATAGATGTTGAGCATCCATTTAGTTGTTAAATGACTGCCTAAAAAGTAATCATATGAGTCAGAGAGATCTGAAAATCTGGAAATGAATGCAATGCTAATAAATGTATCTCCCCGCCTTTGGATTTGCAGTTTTATCTGGTACAAAATATGGTTTGAAGCAAACTCGTGGGAAATTTGGACTTGGTGCCAAGATGGTTAGACCTACCCTTTTTGAATGAATGTACGATTTTCTTAATTTTAACTTTTCTTTTTTCATATTATAGTGGTACCATGCTAGGAAAATTAAAATCAACTTTTGAAACACCTCTCTTAGGCAATTAGTTGTTTTTTTGTTTTTGTTTTTACCAAACTTTGCATGTTGCAAAATGATCAAGTAGCCTGATCTAATATACATAGAGCTTAGAATCCTTCACAATGCATGTCTTCTGGCTTATTCCATTTGTATTTTCTTCTTTGAGTTTTTGCTTGAGTATGATAATTTTATCAAGGAAATATATTTATGGGATAGCAGATTACATTGGCTTAGGAGTAGTTTCTTTATGATGGTAAATGTAACCATTTGTTAAATAACAACTTATATTGGGTTAGAACTAGCTCTTTTTATGTGCTAAATGTCACTGTCGACTTAATGTTTTCTGAAAGGTTTTATTATTTTTTTTATTCCACCATTTATCAATTCCTCAGATATGCAATCTAGGTTTGGTGTATCAATGAATGAGCGTCCATGTTTGTAAAAAGCTTGTTCGTACCTTTTATCTTGATATTTGGCGAATCATGCTTTTAAAGATGCATGATTTGGAGTATGAAACCTTGCAAATTCATATACATCACTTAAATTCTATCTCTATGCTCTTCTGTCCAACACGGTATGCCTGTAAAAACTTTAGTACTGAGAACTTCTACAATGACTTCACTTAAAACTTCATTTGGTATGACTGTTGTTGTCTGAAAATTTAGGTGAGAAGCATAGCTGTCAATGGAGCAAAATAGCGCGCGCCATGGCGCACGGTGCGGCGCACCTACGGCGCCATGTTCATGGCGAGACGCATGTGTTTAAAATAGCGCGCGCTATTTGCGCCACATGTGAGCCATGACGCATTACGCATGGCGCAAAATAGCGCGCTAAATTGTTTTTAAATATCAGTATACTTATGAATATTTTTTATATTTAAAAATATATCTATATTTTAAGATAAACGACTATTCATTGCCCTAATTTCACGAAAGATTTTTTGTTTGCTGCATTCGCCGAACACATCCTGCAGTCCCTAAGTCGAAGTTGCTGAATCTGTCCCAAAGTCGAAGGTTTTCTGTTTTCTGTTTGCTGCATTCGCTGCTTCCGCCGAATCCAGCCGAATCTGTCCCGAAGTTAAAGTCGTTGTTTCCCTCGAATCGTCCCGCGGAGCAGTGCTTCCGCCAAATCCACCCCCTCATTCGTTTGTTCCAATAAAAAATCTTAATAGCTGCTCCGATTTGCAACCTCCGTCTGTTCCGCACAGCTCTGTTGTTTTGCCCGGCTATTTCTTACAATAATTTACAACTTAAAAGGTATGCTCGGTACCGCTAGGTACATGCTCGGTACCTCTATGTATATGTTGGATACCGCTCGGTACCTCTATGTACTTGCTCGGTACTGCTTGGTACATGCTCGATACCGCTAGGTACATGCATGATACCGCTCGATACCACTATGTAAATACTCGGTACCGCTCGGTACATGCTTGGTACTGCTAGTACATGCTCGGTACTGCTCGATACATGCTCGGTACAGCTCGGTACAGCTAGGTACACTCTCGGTATCTTTCCATACAAATGAACTTCAAAATTACGCTCGGTACAGCTAGGTCGAACCCCGCTAGGGAGCAGCGCCCCCTTGGACCCCCGACAGCCCGCATATTATGTTTTTGGACAATATTATGTTTCTTTTATCTAAATTTATTTGTTTTTAGGTGATTATAAAATGTCAGATTCAGTTCAATCTTTAAAAAAAGATCTAGCATGAGAAGGTGCACAAATCAAAGAGCACTTGTTAAACCCGCAAAGACTCGTTTTGCAACAACTTTCTTAACTTTACAACGTTTTCATCAACAACAACTGAACTTGAAGAAAATGTTTACTTGTGAGGAATTTATCTTGAGTTCTTATGCGAAAGAGGCTAAAGCAAAACAATCTCAACATACAATCTTACAACAATCATTTTGGAACACTATAGTGTATGCCTTAAAAATAGCTGGTCCTTTATTAAAGGTTCTTAGATTAGTTGATGGAGAGAAGAAGCATCCAATGACTTACATATATGAAGCAATTGATAGAGCAAAAGAGGCAATTGCTGCAAGTTTCAATAACAGTGATAAGTATGATCAAATTTTTAAAATAATTGATAGAAGATGATAAGTGCAATTACACCTGCCTCTACATGCAGCGGGACATTTTTTAAACCCTGAATATTTCTTCAATAACCCTGATATTGCCAAGGATAAGGAAATAGATGATGGTCTTTACCAATGTATTGGAAGATTATATCAAGATGTAGCTAAAGAAGATAAAATCAGTAATGAATTAAATTTATACATTAGGGGTGAAAGACTATTTGGTATTCCTCCAGCTCTATGACAAAGAACTACCCAATCTCCAGGTATCATTATTTACAAAAAAATTAAGACTGATTTGCTATATAATATTGAAAAAAAAA